AGAAGGAAGGTGGGTGATGGTGTGGCTTCCCATGCTCTCCCCAGCAGCAGTCACACTGGCTGCATAATTTTGAGGAAACCCTTGTAGCACAAGGCTGTGTATATACCTGCCCAGCCATCTTAGCCCTGTCTTCCTTTCCCAATGATCCAGACTCCCATCATAGGGGGGTGTAGGGAGAGTTTTGGCCTCCAATCCTGAGCCCTGCATGTGCCCAACCTGCCCATTCCCACCCATGCGAAGTCCTTGCAAGCAGCAATCGTCCCAACAGTTAAGGTCAAGGCATGGAGGCCCTGCAGGCTCCCAAATTTAATTTCAGGGCCCCTTCTCAGGGCACCTCAAAATGCCAGCAAAGCAGCCCATGAGAGTGCTGCAGGGCCATGCTTGTGTCTCAAAACTGCCCATGCTTGTACACACAAACCACACACAGTGCTCACACTGATGCACATGTCCTCTGGGCTCCCACATAGCCAGCACCTCCAAGTGGTTTGGGAATGCTTCTCAACATCAGTGAGAAGCAGAAACTTCAAAGAAGGACTAGAAATTTGGAAACACTTTGGGAAAACTGCTCTAAGTGCTGTTGTCCCAGAGTCCCCACAAAATCCACTGCTGGATGAGTGAGTCCAGCAAAGGTCCAATTGTCATTTTGAACTTTTTTTTCCTAATGTGCATATAAGCTCCTGCTGACCCTATGTAGAATTTAGTTTACTTTAAGCCACAGCAGAAAGGACCCAGAGCAAGGTGAAGCAATTTGGCACTTTAACTCCATATGAAAAGAGGAATGATCTCCCTGCACAGCCCAGGCTTACCCCCAGAACTTCCAGCCTCTCTGTCTCTGCAGCCCTTACAGGTCCCCATGACAGGATTCACCCCTTGGTTAGCTCTGCTTCTCAGGAGTGACAGGAAAACCTGGTGGCTGGGCTGGTGGCCCTGTTTGTGGAGGGCTAGGAGCAGCCCAGAAGAGCTGCCTGTCCTCCTGCACAGCTCAACCCACTGATGTCTGGAAAGGGAGGTACTTGGCCCTGTTGTTCCATATAGAGAAATTAAATCCTGTGCTCCTCCCTGTTCACATCCCCTCGAGGAGAAATTTTTGAATGAAGGGGTCTTTGAAGACAACAGGGAAGTACCAGTGGCACCTGGGTGGCCTGCAGGAACACCTCTGAGCAGGAACATTTATTCCCTGTTAAAGGGGATGAAGTATTGCAAGGAACTTGGCTTGTCCTGAAGAACATAGGAATGCTCCTCTCCCTGCAGGGTCCGCTCATCCCATGCCCAGAGCTGTGCTGTTGTCTGTTAATATTCAATAGAAGTTACATTAGGTGCATGACCAGCTAATACTGTGCAAACATTTGGAAAACATCATGGCGTGACTGAACTCGGGGGCCTGCTACTGATAACAAGCAGCATAACCTTGAGAGCTCCTATTTACAGCCGCTGACTGCAGGGCTTTTCTCCTGGCCCAGCCTCATTATTGCTTTTTATCAGATGGATTTATACATTGAGAACGTATCAATCCAGAGAGCCACCAGCCTAAGGCAGGGACTGTTCTGTTTCCCCTGCCACCGATCAATAGCTTATTTGAGCAGATGGCTTTGGGTGGCATGGCCAGGGTGAGTTCTGGCCAGCCCAAGGCCTCGTGACAGACAGAGAGGCAAATCCTCCCTCTCAATGCTTCTGCTCCTGCTCTGGCTGCTACCAAATCTGATCCAAAGCCCAGGTCTTCAAGACTAGACCAAACAGGGAGGCACACTGGGGTCAAACCTGTCCAGGGACACTTTTACAATAATGTAGGAGGGAACTCTGTTGCTCTGGATAGATAAGTAGGAGCTGTTCTGTGCTTCCTTATTGTAGCTTAGACGGAAGTTTTCCAGCTACACCTACCTGGTGCAAGAGCTTCCCGAATGGACTCACAGGAGTCATGTGGACAAAGAAGCCTTGCAGATACCTCCTTTTCACACATCATCTTCTGGCTGCATGTATGAGCATGGCCACCATTTCAGACCTCATATATTGAAATCAAAAGGTTCAGATCCTTTGTATGGAAATTTCCCCATTGACCTCTACAGGTGTTCGGGTTCTGGATCAGCCCCATCCCAGGACAGTGTAATAAAACAAATCTGAAATCAGAACCATTAGATGTAGGCAGCTCTCACAGGCATCCCATCACAAACCAGACACAGCTGCACCTCCACCCTGCCTGGCAGCAAAGCTGGGAAACTGCAGCTGAGGAAGACGAATGCCAAAGGTCTGCGCTAGGTTTCAGTGTGCATTGCCATGAACGACCTGCAGCTCAGCCAAAATACTCTCTTGCAGCTGTACAAAATGAACGGGACAGAATCAGCACCCGGAGATCAAGTTACGAAGACAGCAGCTTGCCCTCCATCAATGTCCTACTGCAGGCAGAAGTCCTGGCACAGCAGGTACCTCTTTCTTTAGCAAATACTAAAGCATTAGGCACTACCTGGCTCATAGAGCCAGCTGAGTATTTAATAGCTGAGTCTTCAAATTATCACCTCTTCTCTAAGTAACTTATCTGCCAACTCAACACTGCTTTTTCAAAAAAAATTTGTTAGCTAAGACCATCCCTTTAATTCTCCTTTGTCCAGAACTCAGTTGTAACAATATGCAGTGACTTGTTCTGCTTTGATGGGACACATGAAGGCTGGAGAACCTGCTGGAAGAAAATAGGGTAGAACCATTGCAATCCAAAGAGCTGTGGTTGCCTAAGCCCATGAGGGGCTGGCCTTGCATGAGCTGCCTCCCTTCCCCATCGGCTGTTAGGAACTTTGGATTCTGGCTTCCTGTACATTTGCACAAGGAATCAGTTTCATGCTTGTTTTATGCAGATATCTTTTCCAGTGTTTGCTTAAAATTCCCCATTTCCACTACCATACTGCCAAGATCTATTTCCTAGAGCATTCAGCTGAAAGGATGACTCTGATTTAAGAGTCTGGATATTGCAAATGGTGTACACCAGACCAGCACTCTCTAGGAAGACTCAGGACAGGATGGGCACACAGTCTGTGGGGAGGGTGTGTCTGTGATGAGGATGAGGATGTGCTGGAGGCAGGAGCTGCCACTCTTCATGGGAGCTGGGGAGAGCAGCACTCCATGTCCTAGGGAAAAATGAAGAGGGTTTCAGGTTGACTGTCCATGCTCTTCCTTGCTTCAAGGGTCATGTTACCTGAAGACTGTCCTGGGAGATGCTCCAGGACAGGATGTTCCATACTCTGGGCTCAATACTAGTCTCAGTCCACTTCCCCAAGGAGGGAATATGCCAGAAGGGCCAAGGGCCAGTTCTGTACAAAAGGAGCATATCCAATCTCATCCCACACCTCACCTTGTTCTGTGGAGGCCCTAATATATTTGTACACCCTATAAACATAATATTGGTGCTGCTCCCAGAGGTGTGAGTTAATGGGGTCTTAAGTCACCAGGTCTACAAGGAAAGGACATTTCTGGGACTCAGAGTCCTGCAGTGACATCACATGTAAGTTTGGAGCAGGATGTGCTGATAAAAACTACAACCACCAGCAAATCCAGGGGAGCTCCTTCTCTCACACAGAGCACAGAGAGACTCATTAAACAAGGCAGGCTCCAGCATGGTAATTGGTAACTTTTATGTGCCTGGCTAATTAGAACAAGATACTGCTGAGGAGCTGCTTTCTCCAAGATCTCAGGTCACTCACTCAGAGGTCTTTATTTATTTGCTAAGCCTTCCGGGCCTTCTGATTAGGGTAATACATGGTGAGATTTTTACAATCTTATTTATTCAATAATAGCTGGAGAGCTGGAAAGCCTCCAGGTAATGTAACCTGAAAAAAAAAGTGCAGGTGGCATTTGAATTCCATTTCCTTGGGCAGGCTGGCAGGGTCCAAGCTGAAAACACTGGCAGGAACAGGACAGGAAGAGCTGATGGTGTAGAAGAGCACAGAGGGCAGGCAGAGGGCAGCGATGGGGTTGAGTTAATTGCTTACAGAAGCATGAGGCTAAAGTAGTGACTAAGGGCAAATTTTTAGATGAGCTGGGTGAGCAGCTATGCATGAGAAGCAGGCAGGAGGTTGGATGCCTGGTTTGGGGGAGATGTTCTGTCCAGCTCTGTGTGACAGTACTTGCAGAGTTGTCAGGCTTGTTCTTTGCAAATGAAATGGCCCCATTTGCCTCCCAATCACAAATAATTCAACATGCAAAGAGTGTGACCTGTGTTGTGAGCATGTTTGCATACACCCAGTTTTGCCAAAATTGCCTTAAAGCAGTGGTGGGATTTGGGAGATTGTTGTCTTGAGAGTCTGTCTTTAGCATTTCAAAGTAGGTAATGTCAAATATTAATGACCTGGTGCTCACAGAAAGCAATGTCAGACCTGGAAGGCTGCCTTCAGCAGAGACTTTGTGTGCTCATGGTGACTCAGGAGGAGAAGCAGAGCCTGCATGTCTCCTGTCAAAAGCAGGCACAGCAGCTCTGGCCAAGCACTGGCTCTGGAGCAGGGTGGCAGGGGCAGCAGCTCTCTGGCCTTTGGTGGAGCCAAGTAGCTGTGCAGCAGCACTGGGTGGATGTGTGCTTGTGCTACACTCTCTGCTCCCTTCTGGATTTTGACTGAGCACATTTGTTCAGTGGGAGGAAGATCCTGGCTTTAGAAACATTTCTTTCCAGTCTATTCAAGGCATGACAGTTTGCCAAGATGATCCACAGCCTCAGCTCCGAAATATTCCGTGTTCACAGATCCTCAAGTTGATCTCAATTTAATGAGTTGTTGTGGGTCACCTGTTCTGGAGACTGGGTGTGCAATAGAAAAACACAATCATTGATGCTGGAGTCTGCACCAACACAACTCATGAGCTGGGGATCTTCCTGTCTACGCTTCCTCTGTGGCACCGAAAGCTGAAGGATCTCTTCTCTCCTTCCAGATATCATCCCCAGTTCCTGTGATCAACAGTGACATCCGAGGGAAGAAGATTGCTAACATCTCTGATGTGTGTGAGTCCATGAAGCAGCAGCTGCTGGTGCTAGTGGAGTGGGCCAAATACATCCCTGCCTTCTGTGAGCTGCCCCTGGATGACCAGGCAAGTCCCCCATCCACCCTGCTTGCTCTGCCCTGGCAAAGGCAGTGGGGAGCCAAAGACTGCTGAGGCCTTCAAAGAAAACATGCATTGTCCACTCTGTTATCCTGACTGCTGCAGCTGATTGGGAACAGCATCCATACAATGCCAGCACAGGCCAGGCATCCATACAATGCCAGCACAGGCCACTTGTATGTGCTACTAATCAGCCGATGAGCACAGTCACGATAACACTGAGCTCGAATTAGGTGCATTATCAGATGTGCATTTTGCAGGGGTCTGTCAGTCAATTGTTTATTAATTACAGCTTGTGCAGCACTTTGATAACCTGAAGTGCTATACAAGTGCTTGGGGTAACGAGAATTAGCAGGACAAATTTCTGGCCTAAGTTCTGCTCAAGACTCCAAACCAAATCTGTCTTTCTTTCTGCTTCTCACCTGAGGATATGTTTGTATCCATGCTCCTAGCATGGGACTGTTGAAGCTAAACACTAGCTTGATCCCAAGGCAATAGAAAATCTTTTTCCAGAGTTCAAAAACAGGAATATATTTGCATTTAACACAAATCACTGAAATGACACTTAAGATAAGCACAGCAGATTCGATGTCCTCTGCCAAACTGCACTGCAGGATCTCAGGCAGCCTCAAAGAGATCCAAGGAGAGGTCTCCCGTGTTAAGTGTAAATTTCAAAGGTATGCAACAGATGTTGAAGGACATGATGTGTGCCCAGCCTTAAACAGCATGTGTGGCTGGTGGGGAGGCTCCAGGGGGAAGGGATAGCACTTCTGGCAGTGGCTAGGATAGGTTCTGTCACAGGTAGGAAGGTACTTTTATTTGTATTTGAGCTAGGATCACTCTCCAACCCTATTGACCTAGAGGTAATTTTTATATCATGAAGAAAATGGATATTCAGAAATTGAGAGTATCCAGCTGATCAAAACCTCCTAAATCCTAAATCTGAGCTCTTCAGTAACCACCCAGCAGCACAGAGCCCTGGGAAATTTGTGCTATTAACACAGGAGCATATTTCCCTCTTTTCTATTGTGTGCAAGTGCTAAATTGTTTAAAATTGTAAAAAAATCTGTTAAATTCCTAAGGCAACTACAACTCAGAAGTTATGAAAACCCAAATGGACTCCACTGGGAAATGGCATTTGCACAGCAAACAGGCTGCAGCCCAGCACAGACCTGGGGCAGCTCTGCACAACCCATCACATCCTTGTGCTATTTGGAACAGAGACCCTGAACCTGGTTAATAACTCTGCAAACTGCAGCAACTTCCACATCAGCTCATTTTACAATTGTGAGGCTGCAGAGTTTCTCAAAGCAGGAAGCAAAATCCAAAGATGCCATGGTGTGAACCCTGCCTTCCCACAGGGGAGAGGCTGCTCTCAGCATGCTCCTCAGGCTCCTCTCAACTGAAACAGATGTCCTGTTGTGACCAGCCATCCCCATGATAAGCACTTCCCAATCTGTCCCAAAGGGCAAGAGAGGAAAAACTGTGCTGCTTTAAAACTAATCATCCATGCTTTCAACGGGCAGTGTGAGAACTGCAGCAGCAGATACTCAGGGGAGTGCAGGAGGAAGAGCAGAAATGCCAGGGAGTAGAATGAACAAAGCTACACACAAGGCAGCTGCCCAAGGGGTATGACAGCCAGTCAAGACGTGTCCAGAGGGTATATACCATGCTGAGAAAGGCTATTACATTGTTATTAAAGTGTTGCCTGAGAATGAATCATCACTGACAACATTTTTATAAGAAAAGTCATACCCAACCCCTCATTCTTCCTCTTCACCAAAATGTCAAAGTAAGTAGGTTTGGTGGGGCAAAGCCATTTCATCTCAAAGATAAAGTTCTACTTTCTTGTGCTACAACTTTTATATTTAGCCTAGTTCACAATGGAATGATGTCTCTCAGGTTCATCACTGCAAGAACAAATATCAAATGAGTTAGTTTTGCCTTGTTGAAGTAATTCTCTTTAACTCTCCTCAAACAAGTAAATTTTATGGAAACAAAAGCGGTGGTTCCAAACGGAACTTTCTTGAATTTGCATTAGGCAGGAAATTTCTCGGTGAGAGCTTTGCTCTCCCCCGGGACTTGCAGTTTTTTCCATCCTTCTCAAAATTTCATCAGATAGGAAAGCTCAGCTTTGTGCAGCTCTGGTAATTACAAGCAGCTCAGCTAACATATCCACCCATGTTTGGATAGTGATAGAGGGAGGCAAGATTTTAGCATCCAGATAAAGATTCCCCCAGTATCATGTGTGCGGAGTCTTTTTGCAAGGATCTCCACTCTGTTTATTTTGCATAAGTTTTTCACCATCTGCAAAAAAAGAAATCCCTCTCTCAGACATCAGCACCTTTTCTAACCAGAGCTCTCTCCTACGGGTGACACATTCTCCTGGCATTTCTGATAGGGTAGGAATTCTCTTGGCTTTGTCAGATGCTGAGGGATAACACCCTGGAAAAAGGGACCATTCTCATCAGGACATACTTTTCAGAGTCTCTCTATTAATGTTTAATGATTGTTTTCTCCAGCAGAGGCTCCTGGCTGGACATTAAGAAGCCTCTGTGTCAGGGTGTCCAATCGTTAACTTCTGTTTCTGCCTAAATCTCTGAAATTTTTAACTGAAGGAGGGCAAAAGACTCAGAACATTCTCAGGAGCTGCTGGAGGGTGCAAAATGAAACGCTTCAATCATTAACATCAGGGCAGAAAAACATCCCTTTGGCTTCCCTGGCTCCAATGCCTGTTGCTGTGGAGGGGATGAATGGCCAGAGGGTGACCCCACCAGCCAGGTGGGTGTGTGTCCCCATGAGGGTGATTTCAGTGAGAGGTGGGCACAACCCAGAGGGACAGTGACTGGCCACAGCACTAGACTGTAGTGCTCCCCACTTCCCAGGCTGGAGTGTGGTCCCTGGTTTTGCACTTGGTAAGAGCTGCTTTGTCTGCAAACAACCCACTGTGAACACGTCCCTTGCTGGTGTGAGGTCCTGGGACAGTCTAGCATGGTCTTGCTCATGATGTGTCCTGAATATGGGATATTTCAGGTGCTATCTCATATCTCCTGGTTCTGCTGGGTTTATAACTGTTTATGCACAGGAGTTAACCATTTTTTGATCCCTTATTGTGACTGCAGAAGTGCTCTCACTCCCCATCCTGAGCGCAGTATGGGAATGCTGGGCTTTGTCTCTTGCTTATGTGACATCACAGCCTTGTCTGTGTCTCTGCATCACCCAAATAATTTTTCCCCACACTTGCAGGTAGCACTGCTGCGTGCACATGCAGGGGAACATCTGTTACTGGGAGCTGCCAAGAGGTCCATGGTGTTCAAGGATGTCTTGCTGCTAGGTAAAGAGTGCACTTCTGCTCCCAGCTCATCTGCTTCTGTGGTGCTTCCCTACTGGGGTGAAGAGAGGGTGGTTCAGTGTTTGTGGACATCCTTTTTGCAAGGTGGTGGCTTGAACCCTTCTGTATTTTACCAAGCCTAGCATGACCAATGGGTGCAGCTAGGCTTGGCAGACATTCACATCAAGGCCATGTGGCAAAGTTGGAGGACTATGAACATTCATAGTGCACCCCCAGGTTTGAGTAAGCAGGCTGTGACGTGACTGAGAAAAAGGCTCTCATTCCTCAGTCAGCTTTTCCTCGCTTGAGTGGCTCCTGTGTAATGAGAGGCTGCTCTGGCAGCATAGATCAGCATTTCTGGTGGGCTGAGCCAGGGAATGGCCAAAAAAAGCAGGAACTTCTCAAGTCCTCTACCCTCCAAATTATCTCAGTATTGGTGCCCTGGGTTTTGAACTCCTTGTCACCCTTGATAAGTCTTGAGCAATGACAAGGTGATGGTCTCTGTGCGGTTTATCCAAAGGAAATGATCACATCATCCCCCGGAACTGCCCCGAGCTGGTGGAGGTGAGCCGCGTGGCTCATCGCATCCTGGACGAGCTGGTCCTCCCCTTCCAGGAGCTGCAGATAGATGATAATGAATATGCCTGCTTGAAAGCCATCATCTTCTTCGACCCAGGTATGCTCCAGCTTGGTGAGGGTTACCATCAGAGGGGACTAGCCTGGGTTACACCAACTAATACTGGTCTTGAGTTGTGGAAATGCTGTCTGCTTTCCTCTCCAGGCCAAATTCTTCTTACAGGGAGAGGAGAAGTTAGCCTAAGAAGAGAAAAAAGCCCATTACAGCAAACAATAGGGGATCAGAGCCAGCTTACTTCAGGGCACACCCAGACTTGATGCTTTTACTGGATAGGAACAGCCTGAATAGTTTGCTCTGTGGGTTATTTCAGATGCCAAAGGACTGAGCGACCCCTCCAAGATCAAGAGGATGCGGTACCAGGTGCAGGTCAGCCTGGAGGACTACATCAACGACCGGCAGTACGACTCACGGGGCCGCTTCGGGGAGCTGCTGCTGCTGCTGCCTGTGCTGCAGAGCATCACCTGGCAGATGATAGAGCAGATCCAGTTTGTCAAGCTCTTTGGCATGGTTAAGATTGACAACCTGCTGCAGGAGATGCTGCTGGGAGGTGAGTACTTGAGGGTCTGACAAGAGGCCTCTCAGTTTTCACTGATCATTCTCCCCTTGAGAACCTTTGCAGCCATTGTTCCTTGTTTGAAAAAGGTGGAGTCAGCCTGTATGCAGATCAGCCCTTGACTCACAAAATCACCTCTCCTATCCTTGGCAGTGGTAACTAAGGTTCCTCCACTTCTCCTCACCGAAAGAGATACATTAGCTGTGCTTCTGTTTTCAGAGAGGCATCCCCAGCCCTATGCACACAGAAGAGTTTTGCTGTGCAACCCCCATCCCCTACCAAGCAACCATTTCACTATTCCTTCTCTGTCAGAAGGGAGTCATCAAAACAAAAAGGCCTGAAAGTTCAGGTTGAACGAGTGTCCCAGAGTTCTAGTGGGAGCATCCAATGGGACAAAACAAAATGAAAAGTTGCCACTGTGCTATTCTTTAGATGGAGCTGTGACTCAGGAATATAATCCTGTGTAAGAGGAAATGCAGGCAGTGAGCCCAGGGCATCCACAGAGAAAGAGAAGGGTGTGCTACAGTCACTTATGGATAAGCTGATCACGCACAAAGCCTTGGACACTTTGGTGCAGTGGGTCTGCCTATTTGAACTGTCTCCTTCGGCCTTCATGGCAACTAATGTCACATTGCATATTTTTAGGCTCGTCAAGTGAAACACCACATGCTCACCACCCCCTGCACCCTCATCTGATCCAGGAGAACATGGGAACAAACGTCATTGTGGCCAACACAATGCCTCCTCAGATGCACAACGGGCAGATGTGTGAGTATCTCCAGAAAAACTGAGAGCTCCCAGGAGAAACTGAGAGCTTTCCAGTCTGACTGTGGAGGTAGTTCCTATCTTGCAAGGAAATTTCCAAGCAAGGCAGAGTCTCTGGTAATGAGTGTGCGAGAAATTCCTATGCAGAAAAGAGGGAAAGACAAACAGAGATATGGGTTAGACTAGATTAGGTGAGACTGATTCAACAAGATATCCCTTGGCAGACTGCAACTTTTACATAGCCCTTAAGGGAGGAATGATCCCATCATTCTAGTGAAATCAGTGGGAAGGCTCCCCTTCCCTTGAGTGGTTCAGATACACCTCAGTTTACCCTCTGCAAAAACACAGGAGATTCTGGTCCACCACATGAGGCCACCATTTCAGAACTTGGGCTGAGGTGACCTCAGCTGACCAAACTTTGGCCAGTACAGGTCAAAACGCCAGCAGCTCCCCTCATTTGGTGTTTGTTGTTGTGGTTCTTTTGGGGCATCAGACCATGACTGTGTATCTGGGCTGCCTTACAGCAAACACAGAAGCCCTTAGAATCTTGGGTTTTGCTACAGAACTTCTGCTGTGCTGACACCTGAACCCCACATGACTGAGAACAGATCCCAGTGCTGTCAGGTCCATAAGACCCTCTTCTAATTTTGTTTTTCTCTCTGTAGCTACTCCAGAAACTCCACAGCCATCTCCACCTGCAGGGTCAGGACCAGAGCAGTACAAGTTGTTGCCTGGAGCCATTGCAACTGTGACAAAACAGCCAACCTCCATCCCACAACCTGCCATCACGAAACAGGAGGTCATCTAGCAACCTGCAGACCAGCTGGCCTCCTTCAGAAGACCGTGTGGGAGAAAAGCCCTAACTGGCTCTGTCACTGTGAAAAGAGAAGCCATCCAGAGGTCCCTGGGCACAAACACACAGACTTGTTTACTGGACTAGTCCACCACCACCAAAAGCTGTCTTCCTGCAGCTATGGACAGCATGTGCCATGGGCAGCCCTGAGTCCCAGAACTAAGGCTGAAGCCTTACTGAAACTCTCAGTCCTTGTAAGAGGGCCCAGATTCCTGCCTCCCTCTGTGGGGAGGTTGCAGTGACTGGCTGGGGACAGTGCAGCTGACTGTTCCCCCTGCCTCAGCGTTGGTTCAGCACACACCAGACCCTGTGAACAAGCAGTTCTCTGTGCCATGTGAATGGAGGGTTCCCACAGCCATGCCAGCTCCCCAGACAGTCCCCAGTCCAGACAAACTTGGTGGAGATGGAAGCACACAGGGTTTGCCCAGGCAGCACTGGCAGAACTGTTCCTTGGCCTTGGCTAGTCCCAGGTCTTTGCATGGTGTAACCCTCCAGCACACTAACCTACCCAGCCAGGTCTAACAAATATTTTCAGCTGATACTGGGGCAAAGTCTGGCCCACCAAGATTCTCCACTATTGGGATCCTTCTGCCTTTTGAGGGGTTTTGTTATTTCTGTGTCATGCCTGCCTTCCCACTACAAGGCTCAGAGAGCCAACCACTGCCAAATCCTTCCCTTACACTACTTACTGACTCTTGGACTTGGAATTTGGGAGACCATGGGATTTTGGAGATTTCAGCTAATGGGATGGGGTCACCCCTGTACAGGCTGGTAGCACTGCCTAAAATATCACTGCCCCACTTCTGCTCTTCAGCAGTCAGAAGAAGACCACTGGATGCCTTTCTGTAAGGAAGTGGGGGGAAGGTTGTAAGAAGGGGAGAGACCTGTGAGGGTGAGAAGAGCTTGAGCCTCACCAATTGGACCAAAGTCTTGGGCTGCCCAAGCGCTGGGAGCATCATGACCCAGGACCTCAGTCCAGACCCAGCTTTAATGCTAAAATATGTCATATAATCTACTCCTCCAGTCCAGTGCCACTCCTTCAGCTTAGAGGGGATGGCTGATAACAGATTTATAGGCCTTCATAACATGATAAGAATTCGTTATGACTCCTTCAGACCACAGAGGGTTTGAGGGCAGCAACCTCAAAAATACAATGCTTCAAGTCCTGCAGAGAAGAACGACAGAGGTCAAGGAACAGCCTTGCCTCACCCAAGCCCCTTGGGTCTGCCCCCACCCTGGTCTGCTCCCTCCTGCCCCATCCCTCTTTCTCTGTGCCTGCCTGTGCCAAAACCCTGCAGATCTGACCTTTGGTTTACAGCTGAAACCAGGAACGGACTCTCCTGTGCCCAGCACCTGCTTCTCTGGGTGCCAGCAGGGCTGGAGCTCGCACAGCCCTGCACAACTTCAGGCCTGAGTCATCTCTGGCCTCTCAGGAGGATGAAGCTGGTGAAACCACAGCTGCTGAGAGGTCTCTGGCAGGGACAAATCTGAGCCAGCTCAGCCAGAGGAGCTGCAGGTCTGTCCCATGATTTGCAATGCAGAAATGAAACACCTCACCTCGTGCTGACGGTGTCCGAAGTATTGCATCGTCTCAATGCTGGTGGCATCATACCAAGTAATTTATTGCAATGATGAATCCAATCATTTTCTGTAAATTATTTTGTAAATCACATTGATTATTTATAATTGGGAGATTAAATGCAAAAAAAAACCCTACCCCATGATAACCACGATGTCTTTTCCAACTGCAGCAACCTTTTTTCCTGTACGTAGACATACTCTGTGGGGAATCCTTTTTGGTCCATTTGCACCAAATATTCCTCAGTATTGTACATTAATTTTTGCTGGTTTCTGCCTTTCAATGGAAACAGAGGAATATTTCTTCACTAGAGTTTGTATTCATGAGAAAAAAAAAAAAGAGAAATAAATGCAAAAAGTATTTTCTAACTTTTCCCAGACAGATGGATTTCTTTCTTCTGGGAGGATTTATTTTAAATCAGGGGGCTCACCTCCCTGTTGATCTGAGCACAAAGCATATGCGTCTTAAGAAAAAAGCCCAAACAAGTGTTTGATGCTGTTGCCAGCTGTCACTATTTCCTGGCAAGCCTAACGCTCACTGGTGTCTGTCCTGAAGCCATGTGTGCTAGAATCATGAGATTGAATGACAATCCCAATTTTCATTAAAAGAAAAACAAACATGAAGAATAAATATTTGCTTTCATGATTCCAGGGAGCTTAAAGACTTGAAGGAACCACATTCTGAAAGCCAGGCAAATGAAACTAAAATATGTTATTCACATTTCAAACATGTTCATTTTTATGCCCCTCTTGTATCTCAAAGGTAATTTCTGAGCACTTTGGGGTGGTGTTTGTGCTCTGGTTCCCACACAGACATCCTACTGCTGAGAGCCAGACTGAGCCCATGGGGCACAATAAGACAATCAAGTGAAAGTCAATTTATCACTGGTTGTAAAGGTAAAGAAATACAGTGACAATTAGAGAAGGCTCTTAATGACCTGCTCTTCTGACCACAGGAGCCTGTGCTCAGCTGTAACATGCCCAGGAAGATAACAGGAAGAGGAGAGAGAGGTTTGTAGTGATTAGGTCTCTGGGGAGGAATAACATCCAGCATTTTCAGCTCTGATCTGTGGGAGATGCCCCTCGTGTTCCCCCTTCTCCCTTCCCTGATGTGAAATGAGGTGGGCAGTCTCATCCCAGGTACAAGGGATGAGAAGCAGCCTAATTTTCCATTCCATTTTTTATATTCAGTGGCTTCTTAGTGCCAGTCAGTGACTGCCAGCAGGTATGAGCTGCAGGTATGAGATTCAGACTGTATTTGAGGACTGTGTGGAGACAACATTTAAAGCCTCTCTCTGCTCTGGACTCAAGGTCCTGGGAGAATAGGACAGATCTCAAATAACATGCCCTCAATACCTGTGCACCTGTGATGATCCAGAGCCCTAACACCATTGCTGAATGCCTGAACAAGGGCAGCAAAGGCAGTCACAGGACATGTGTTAGCACACACAAGACTAAATGGTTAGTCCTGTCAAGAGAAATAAAAGGAGTTAGTTCATTCTCCTCTGCTATGACCCATGGTTGATTTTACCTGGGTATATGCCCTAAAAACTCCATATATGTAATATCAAATCTTTGAAGCAATAAATTCTCCTGGATTCCTTCCCATGAACTGCCCTATCAAGGTTGCCCTTTACCTGGTTAATCTTAAATCAGTGCAGTTCCTACAGGAGGTTTCTTATTGCTGGATTCAGCTCACTTGGAAAAATAACATGAACTGTCCCAGAGACAACCTTGTCCTTAAATGGCATCCTTGATCACAGCCCTCACCTCTTGTCACTCCAGCCTGGAATCATCCTGAGACGCTGGTCTGGCCACTCATGGGCTGTGTTTTATCCTGCTGGATTCCCCGGAGCCCACAGGCAATGTCACAGGAGATGGCTGTTGTAAGTATTGGCCTTTGAGGCACAACTTCCTTACATTGTTTTTGGACACAGGAGCTTTTTGTGCTTGCAGCATAGCCTAAGGATGATTTCCTGGAGAGCACTATATCTCCAGCTGCAGAATCTTTTCATGATGTCCAAGCAAAGATCTGTGAAAGTGGTATTTTTAGGTCCTCTGGCCACTATGAAATGCATTCTTTTCATATTCCTTATATAACCTCCATCTGAAAGAGCCAACAGGCTTTGGAGCCTTTTCCACAGCTTTCATATCTCAGTGGGAGGGGGGAAAAAAAATAAAGCATGGCAAAGGAGTTTTATGGCCTGCATATTATCTCTGACAAAAGCAACTATTGCTGCTATTAAACTTGCAATTGCACACACAGGCACAGATAGTCATGAACACCAAGAGGCTGTAGGGAATGCTCAGCAACGTGGCAGTGCTGAGCCAGGCAATTCTGTGTGCCAGCCTGGCCAGTTCCCCCAAGGCTGAATGCAAATTTCACCAACCAACTGGGGCACTCAGGTCACACACTGCTCAGCCCCTTACCACTCCCAAGAGGCGGGAGGAGGAAGAGTAAGGTGTGAGTATGCTTAAAATCCCTCTCCCCATTCCTAATTGAGGTGTGACCCTGACAATCATAAACACACCTAGCACCTGAAAAATTGCCAGCCAGGCCAATAAAAATGGCAATACACTGTCAGCTTTGTTAGGTGTGGAGTGAGCAGGAGAGCTGGGCACAAACAAGGCTGCAGTCATGACCTGCAGTTCAGTGTCCTGTGTACGAGAGAAGAGGCTGCTGGGACCAACAGACTGCTCCCAGTTCATGCCCAGGGGGAGAAGAGCTCGGAGTCTAACCTGGGTCTGGGAAGGAAGGTGGTTTGGGAAATGTATTTCTAAGGCTTATTCTGGCTTTGGACCTGGGCTGATGACAGGGTTGTCTGATCATGACTGCCTCACCAGCTTTCACAGGCACAAGGCCACCCCTGTCTTGGGAGATCAGGCACAGAAGATGACACATAGGTTACACAAACCCCTGGGCTCTGCTCCACTCCACTTCCTTACGTCTGACAGTTTTGCCTGGCTGGGACCTGCAGTCCCTTGTGACCCCATGGACACATGAAGACCAGGAAGCCCTTTAGATCCTAGAGGACCCCACGCCAGACGATTCTGGTCTGGGGGAGCTGTTGTGATTCCCTACCTCCTCCTAGAAACTGCTATGGGTGTGACAAACAGTGCAAGAGCTGCCTGAGGGACATGCCTGGATAGATACCCACTGCAGAAAGCATCACAAGTGAGACAGGAATTCCTCACTGCAGCTGCCAACCCAGGTGTTAGCACTGGCTGGAACATGACATGTTCCCCCTCACTGACCGGGAAAGTCATTACAATAAAGTAACTCAATAATACACTTCTCTGTTTCTCTCCAGGACTCTCCAAAGCCTCACCTTGGATTAAAAACACTTATTAATTAATCTTGCTGATGGGTTACTATT